GGACACTCCAGCGTATCAGCATTCCTCTCCACCTGACCCAAAGCACGCGGCACCCGAAAACACAGGTGACGGGATGAGGTGATGGCATATTTACTCAACACTGCAGATTGGGGTATAGGGACGCTCCGACCATGTGTCGCAGGTCTCAAGAGCGAGTTCGTCGAAATGTGAAAGCTGTGGAATGGATGAACTTGGCTGTGCTCCGCAGTGGGGCACAAGCGTGCGGATTCATGAAAAGCCAACCTATTTTCGGCCCATCAAACTCCGTTCGAATATGAATCTTCACGCGTGGTTCCCGAAGGGCTTCATTCCCGCTCAGGTGAACGTTCGCATGGAAAAATAGGTCAGCTCAACTCCCCGTTTTGAGGGAGTTGCCAAAACTACAGCAGAGGTCTCCGATTTCCGTCCGTCATCCAAATCGTAGAAGGGGATTTCACCCCCACCACGGCCGCCGCGCAAATCAGCTTGTTCCCTGCCAAGGGAGACACCAACCGCCGCAAGCGCATACTAAAGAGTTTGTCTGCACATCTTATACTCTCCAGGAATGATTTACCACACAAGCACCGTCTGCTAGAGGCGCGCCACACACCGCCGGCAGCGGTAGTCCTTTCGGCTGGACGGGTGTACCTGAACAGGAGAGCTCGTTCGAGTCTCAACTCCGTGAAGCAACGCCTCGTCGCACACGAAGCCTGGCATGCGCCTCTCGAACGCCTCCAAGGCTTCTCGGAGACCCTCCGTCACGTACGACGGGTAGAGCTGTCATCGTTCACGAGAAACGGGGGAAAAGAACCGTACAGCAGCAGGCATGAGTGACAGACAAACAAGGCAGTTGACAAGACGCATTCTGTGGGGAGAGAGCGACTGGCCGCCCGCAGAGATCCCGGACAACGTCAACACCCCCACAGAGAGAGTCCGGTATTCGGCAAGCAATACTCAATTCTCCACACGTAAGACTACGACACATCTATTGTCGACAAGAATGCCCAACGGGCAGTCAGCATTTCCATGACACCATCATCAAGCAATACGTGCATGTACCGAAATTTCCATCGACATCCGGAACAAGAAGGGGCCTGCAATGCAAGCATCAGTTGCTACAATTCTAGTGAGGCTTCGCTCAGTTCATCGTAGATCTCATCGTACATCTCATCGTAGATCGTAGATCTGATATATCTCATCGTAGATCTCATCGGAAATATCATCGATCTCATCGGAGATGTATGTGCTTACCTCGTGCAGAGGCCCCGCTCGAACCCCTAACCGGTAGCTGGAGGAAGGCAAGTCGGCGTCCCGCCCAGAAGAACTCGCCATGAAGTCCGTTACGCGCTGAACCGGAACAACTGACGTGACGTTTAGGTTTCGGTTCCATTGACGTTTGGGCGGGGGGGACGCAGAAAATAGAACGGGGCGGGGGGCGGACTGGGTCAGCCAGGAGGAAAGTGACAAATGAAATTTACCAAATAGGTAGTGCAAAAGCGGTGTAAAGAGTGAAGCACAATTTGTGTAAGCTGGGATCGGAGCAATTCTGGTACGAAGGGGATACAACCTCCACGATTGTTGTGTCCACGTTTCGTCAAGTTTCCTCAAGAGCTTAGTTTCCTCCAGAAACTCACTCCGGCATCGACCGTTTCGTGCACGTCCAAGCGTTTGTGGTTTTCTGATGTTCTCGAGCGTGCTCGCAAGTGAAGTGCTCCGTTCTCTGCTGCACGGGACAACAGCTGTAAAATTCTGCGCCTACCTGACGAACATCCCTCCGCGCCCCAACCTACCCTTCATCCGCATGAAAGCCACTCATCTCCAGGCCCCATGCCACTAGGGACGCCTGTCACCCTTTTCCGCCTAGTTCGTGCATGCCCCGATCCCCCCGAGAAAAAACAGAAGCTACCGTCTGTACTCCAGTTTTCACCACTTCTCGAGAAACGCCACATCACCCCAAGATCTGCAACCGACGGGCGTGCCGAGTTCCAACGGAGACTTGCCGAGAACTCCACGAACAGATGATGTGAACATGTCCGTCGTCTTCTCTTGTGGTCATGTGGTCACGGCAGCAATGCCTCTGTCTTACCGTCGTACCGTCTTACCGAGATTTCCGCCGCCCATCTCCGCTGCTCTTCTCTCCATCGCCGACTGCCACCTGACCCCCCTTAGCGGACCATTCCCAGCTTCGGCCCCCTCCAACGCGGAAACGTCATCGGCCACGTCTTTCGGGCTCAGGGATACGACGAGGGCGGCGTTGGCCCACTTAGACTCGCGCTTGGAGAAGCTCATGCCGTTCACGCACACCTGTGCGGTACGTGCGGTAGACCAGAGCCAGGGGATTAATGCTTGATTTGAAGAACGGCTAGGATGGAAAGGGGGGAAATACCAGATCATTCACAGGGGAACACGAAATGTGGAATGGCAGTTGATGCTTCATGACAACACCTACAGTAGCGATGAAATATACGAAAGAGAAATCGGTGATCAAGGCGATGAATCGATTGTCAGAGTCTATCACAGCTAATGGCTGACTGCTCTAGACTCTCATGCATGGCGGCAAATACGCATGCTGGTCCTGCTGCAGCCACCCCAACCGACGCGGGGTAAAACTCTTCAGCCGTGGGTGGGCTCGGGGCCAACAACCACGCACCTCCTTCGGGTCGACGCTGGTCGGCACTACTTGCCCCCCCGGGCACATGCAGAAGCTGTAACAGCTCCGGTCTTGGTACCCTCGTTTCGCCGACCTTTGCCCGGCTTCATCAGGCTTGTCCATAGCTCCGAGCGACTGGGTTAACCTGTAATCAGCCACGGGCACCTGAAATTCCGCGAGAGAAAAAGGGGGGGGGGTTATTTGAGTGGTGGAAATGAATTGTTAGGCTACTCGATGAGTTTGGTGAACACCTGCAAAACTTCCAACAAACAAAGGTGGTGACGTAACCGGGGGGGGGCAATCGTTTCTACACAAAGACACGATAGTGGGTGATTCATAGATTGCTTCCCCTTGCATGAATATGAACGTGCTGATGATCCCACCCGTGTCAAAAATAACATGGTGAACGGACGTCAATACTCTAACCACGCGCGCGAAAACTAGGCGCCGCCCCGCCACCTAAGGGGCGTGACCCAAGCAAACAATGCGAAACCCAGCTGCCTTCTGTCAGAACTCAACACACTTTCCCCTTGCCCCTGTCGACCATCGAAGCGATCTCGGCTCCGTATCTCAGCTCGTTGATCATCTCCTGGAAAGTGTTCACGGGCCGCGTGGACAACAGGGGATCATCACAAAATGCACATGATGATATCGTTGAACTTGGCGGTCATACTCTTTGCTGAGGACGAGTAACCCACATGGGGGTACATACCCTTGCAAACATGAAGATTAAAACTCAGAATAAAGCAGCTTCCAAACACCCGCAGTTTCACGCCCGGTTGTTGTCGTGGCCAAGACGACCACACACCCCGCCGCCGCGAAAAGTGACTGCTATTGTAGTTCGGGCAAACAACACGGAAGGAGTGGATCGAACGACGAACTCGTCACGCCGACACTTTTCACCAATACTCTATTGGACGCCCAGCAAGTTCCACCGTTTTCCCTCATAGCTTCCGTTGGTATGTAGCAAGGGATCTACACCGTGGTTGACCGTCAGGTGCAAAGCGTGCCAAAGAAGACAGAGAGAAGGGTGTCACTCTACCAGCAAAACATAGTAGCATTCCGTAGGGGGTATCCTTTCGGACCTCGAACGATCCAAAAACACCGTACGGCACCACCCACGAACAGGCATCCCTCGACATTTCACCTGCGGGTGCTCGATTCGGAACCCGACCGCGATGCCCTTGGCTTCAAGGCCCACTCCGGAGTCTAGCAGCCTTTCGTACAAGGGCCTTGCGCTGTGGCCAACGGCCAGGATAACCCTGCTCGTTGGACAGTTCAGCAATACCACGCGAAGGCATCAGCATTCGGAATGTACACAAGTATTTCACCAGGACCCATCGGGACTTGTCTACCTTGGAGCTGTTGCTGAAATCCGATTACATATCATTGGCATGCACGTGGCCTTCGAACTCGGTAACCTGATTAGGGCAATGGTAGTCGCGCCCTTTCGACGTTTGGCCACGTAAAGGACCCTGCTACTTCGAACTTGTACGCGGAGTCGGCACAGAGAAACAAACGCAAACACAGGGGTTCCGTACACCTCTCCCCCTTCCCCTGAATGATGAGAAACACGGTGAGTGATCCCGTAACAGGATTGGTCCATTATTCCAAAACGAGTGCATCAACAAACGGTGTTGGCATGAGAACAGAAGGTGTACCGAAGGAGAAACTTTCAGTGCTACGTCACACCAGCTTAGACCCGTAATGCACTAGAACACTATCGTCGAAATCTCAACTATCATAGCACTGGTGGGGAGTAGGCAAGAAACCCCGGTCCCTACGGTGCGCACGTGCAACCCACCTGTCGGCAAGAATCTCACTCCCGTCCGCGAGCTTGAGACCGCTGATTGCCTCTCGGTCGCCGCCGCCTCTGGTGAGTAAACCCTCGACCTTGGTGTCGAAGCGGAACGTGGCCCCTCTCTCGATAAGGAAGGCTCGCATGTCCCGAAGGATTCGGACCAGCCTGGGGGGTGGGCGAGCGTTCAATACTGTGAGACGAGCTATCATGTTGATGCTGTAGAGCACGTGGTAGATTGGTATCATCCAACCGCACACCTGCTTCTTGGTAGTGGTGGAGTCAAGCGGTTCTTCTAGTGGTGTAGTGTACTTCAAGTCCGCAAGAACCGCTGATTGGTGCTTTTCAACCGCGGACGGGTTCTTCATAGGTACGGTAGTCGATGTGGTAAAATGCGTCACGTTAAGCAAGCAACTGCTTGTTCCGCTTCGTCTGCGGACCAAACGGCCTGGCCAAGAAAAAGGCGGCAATTACCCATTTCGCTTTCGCATTTCAAGAGCGAGGCAAGTACGCCAAGCTATTCGTGCCTCTTTAGTCACCGTTCGCAGTCCATGTTCATACACATAGCGGCGACGAAACACCGAGATGGGTCCGTATTTCCAAGAGGCCTCCGACGACCCCGCCACCATCCTGTATGCGCTACGAATCACAACCTCAGAAGAATGTTCCGTCACAAGATGCTGCTGGCAAGTCTGCCGCATGTGCACAGCGTCCTGACTCCGCCATGTCGCGTCACAACGACAGTCTACAACCTACTTCGTATGTCACATGCAGAGCCAAACCTATCAACAAGCGCGGAATGAAAGACAAAAGAGAGACCCAAGGCAAGAACCTCACCTATCCGTGCCGAGGTGAGGCTTGCCGTCCACAAGGATACGCTCGGGGGCGCCGTGAGCCACGAGGGTCTCCAGCACCTTGGAAAGGCAGGCAAGCAAAGAGGTCCATGGAGAATGAAAGGCGATAGGTGCAAACGTGAGAAATACACACGCGTGTGGGCACGCCGTTGGTGCGTGTTTTCGTCGACAGTAGCAGGGACGTACCCTTGTTGTTGATCTCCTGAGCTACTTGTACGTCGTACGCCGTGTAACGGATACCTCTAGGTTCCAGCCAGCATGAGATGCTTCCATAGACTGTCGGGGAAACCCGTCAACTCGAGGCTCACGTAGTCAACGGGGACCCTGGAAAAAAAAAATGCGAACCAACACGAAGAGACGCACTTCACCAACCAGACCGGCTGAAAAATGCCGACTTTCATCGTCATGAGGTGGGATGAGGCACTCAAGAGGCAGACAATAGAGAAAGAGCCATCTGTAATGACGCTGCCCCCTCTAGGCGTTTTCCTTCCTCACTGCCGAAAAAACGTTCGGGGGCAGCTGTGCTTCCTCCAACTCCAGGGGGAACGTCAAAGGTACGAAAACAAAGAAGTTGGACAAGTCTTCCGGAAGATAGAAAAAAAACTATTTCTAGAAAAATAAACAACCGTGCCCTCTCAAAGCCGACGAGCACGGTAAAATGCAACCACTAAGACGGCCCGGAGCATAGCCGCATGCAACATACGACTCATGCACGGCGACTTCAGCGTGTCACCTTCCTGACGTTGTCGCTGTTCCTGCCAATCCTCGTGGTGAGCTTGCCGTCACTCCATGTTCCAGCGCCGCCCTCTCCATAGCACAAGTTGCTGTCTGGGTTTAAGATGCGCCTATGGAACAACGCCCCGATCTCCCGGCCCCTTCTTTCAACTGGCCTGACGTTTGGAATGATCGGTCGAACCAAGTTTCGAAAGTTTGGCACTGTTGACGAGCGTGGGGGGTATGAGACAAGAGACGAAAACAAGTATGGCAACAACGTCCAACAGACACCACGATGACGGTTTGCAATGATAAAACAACAAAAAAACAGCAGCAAATAGGCCAAAGGTTCGCCATCTGGGGCTGAAAAAAGAAAGTAGAGGCAGCCACAGCAACAGCCTTTTCACAACCCACGTGCAACCTCCTATCAACACAGCCCATGCAAGGAAAACAGACACAGCTATTCCCACCAGCGGAGCGGCTACCGACGCCCTGCGGAGCGTCTCACATGCCACGCTCTACGATGATGGGCTTCATCCCGACCTCCACCAGCTCCAGCGCGGCGAACAAACCAGCAGGCCCGGCCCCGACAATCACAACCGACGGGCCCCCTCCACCCCTCCCCGTTACCAACGGCGGCGCCCCCGCTCCCTCCGTCACATCGCCCTCTGCCGCGCCGGCAGCGGCGACGGCAGCGGCATCGGCGGCGATGGCTTCAGCAGCGACGGCAGCCGGAGTGGCGTCGGAGAGAGCGGCCATCTTAGAGACTGCCGCGGAGGTAATGTCCGGGGAGATGTCCGAGAATACGGAAGCGTCGGAGGAGGGGGAGGCCGGGAAGAGCGGTCCGCCCGACGGCGACGGCTCCAGTTTGCCCTGAATAGAGAGATCGAAATTGCAATGAAGAGGAAGAACACCGGCAGTGGCAACAAGGGCAGTAGTAGCACCAGCGGCAACGAAGGATGGCATGCCCCAAAGGAAAGGAGGAGGACATTGTGATGATGGGGTGAGGTGGAGACGGGAGGAAGCACGGGAAAACTAAAAGAAGCGAGCGAGATTCAAGCAAGGAGAGATAGATATCACCCGAGAGAGAGAGAGAGACGGTCGAGAAAATGAGAGAGGGGGGAGGAGGGAGACCGAGGCAAGGTGCTGACGAGAGCCGCCATGATTATTGAAAAAAAGCCATCAGTCCGGCTTGTCGGCGAAAACGCAAACATGCTCTCTTCGATAAACCGCTCGCGGTCGCCCATGCGCCCCACCTGCCCGACCCTTCAACTCGCTAACTTCTTCTCCACTCACCTCTCGCTACTCTTATGGCAGAAAAAGGGAGTGTCAACATCGCAAAATATATTCGGTACTTCACAGCGATCAGAAATAATTGATACGACATCTAGTACGTTTAAAGCTGTACCACGGTGTAGTTCAACAGAGTACCGCCGTGGCAGCAGCAATAGCAGTTGCAGCATTACACAACGCGAGAATCAACAACTACCCATGACTCGTCTTGTTTATACCCCCTACCTGCTTGGTCCTCAGCCGCAGTTTTCTCGCCGTTTTCGGCGACAGCCGGACATCCAAGGTGTACGAGAACCGCGGCTCCGCATCCTACGCACGGGAAAGCGTTTTGATGCGGAGGTGATGTCCGGCAAACCGGTGGGGGGGAATGGGAGGTAGGGATTGACGACAAACGAGAACTTTTGAAGCCGTATGGCGCAATGCCCTCCAACAGAACCGTTGAGCATATCTGGGGACACGACCCCGTGGAGCTTCCGTCAAGTCAAGAAGCACTGCTACAATGACACGGACGGTGCTGCTGCTTGACAGCCGCGAGATTATCCCGACAGTTCAACGCCAACATGGTGGTACGAAGGCGAGAAACAACAACCCCGCCAGACACGGGGACTGAACTGTAGATAACGCCCTATGCCAGCCAATCACCTTCTTCGTCCTGGCGTCGAACGACTTGCGTACCACCACCACGTCGGTGTCGGCCAACACCCCTTCGTCCTTGATTCCTAGTCTGCCAGCGACCACCGCCAAGAGCTGTCGGGCAGCCACGCGGATCGCCACGCAAACGGAGATACGAAGGAAGGAGAGAAGAGAAGGGAGAGGGCATTAGGCGGGTGTCAGAGACAAGGAGCACGTGCCGCTGAGGTTTTCGCCACCCTCCTGCCGGTTCTGCGTGATGAACGTCGCATGATGACATTTGCACTTCTATACAAGTATAAAGTTGTCGCAACGATTGCTCGTCTGAGAGCCTGAAGAAAGATGAGGGTAGTCAAGGGGACACGCAAGGGCCCTTTTCTACCTCGGAAGTCGACGCCTCAGCAAAAGCAAGGTGCCACCAACCTATTGGAAGCCCTTGCCTCCTCTACTTGACTCTGGTATAGTGGAACGCCCATTGACACTATTTTGACAACCCGCCGCGCCCCCGACACAGGTTGACTTGGCATTTGCGATATCTTTGGGTAAACACGCCGAATTTTGGCACTTATGACGGTTGGGCAATGAACGCCTTATGAACGGCAGCAGCGGGCAGAGTCCTGCTGTGATACCAGCGGTAGTGCGAGGAGGAGAAGGAGGAGGAAGGGCAGAAATGCTTGTAGAGTCCCTAACAAGGACAACCCCGGGCAGCACGACTTTCCTCTTGCTCGACAACCCCAACAAAATACCAAGATGCGCCAAGGCACACATGGCACATGCAGGGGCTAGAGACGCGCCGTACGAATGATACATCTCGGTGTGCGAGGACACACAAAACAAGTACCCCCTACGCAGACAAGAGAAAATCGACTCGACTCACTACTTGCAACGCCTCCCCACCCGAACGTTACGCAAACGCCTCTTCCCACCTCAGCCGAAACCCCGCAGAAATCCTTCCCAGGGTCCACCTTGACACCGAGCTCCATGTTGAACATCCTCCAGCACAACACCATGGGACCACGGCCCCTGTCCCCCTTCGCCCGAGGCCTCCTAGGCCCCGATTTCTTTGTCGCACTGCCACCTCTGCCTCCACCCTTGCGGCTTCGGTTGTCCACCCCGCGCTCGACGGCTCGCGCGGTCCCATGCCCCCACCGCTCTCGCTCTCGTTCGATGAATTCTCGTGGCGGGGGAGGGGTTGAGATTGTGCCGCTGCGAGAGTCTGAGCGTCGTTTTGTCAAGAGGGTGTGAGTTTATGTAGTGATCCACAGGAAGAAGAGAGTTACTTGTGTCATGAGCGAAACGGGTCGACGTCAGTGTCAAGGTGTTGTGCCTCAAGCGTGGTGTCAGGTAATAGACGCAGATCTGAGTGTCTGCTGGTGATGTGGGGTGAACTGGACGTGCGTGGTCACGTCCTGCTTGTTCTTCCTGTGCTCGTTCGAATACCTAGTTGGAGTTGGAGCTTGCCCAGCGTCGTCTCAAAAGTCTTACAAAGTACTGCCGCGCGTCTCGACGTATTCTCGGTACATTACGTGTACTGCAGTTCACTCACCGGGAAACACAGCTTCTCGCTGTCTGGGAGAAAGGCGAATCAACATCTGCACATTGCAGTCACACCGTAAAAGACAGCACACCGCTCCCGAGGGTGCGGCGACTCTGCATGCATTCGACGATTAACAAATGCCTGTACAACACACCAACAATTTGGGGTGTCTCCGTTCGTGGATCATAATCAGACACAGAGACTTTTCTTCCACCTCGTTGCACACACAACTGCAACGCTTTCGACAGCTTGAGCCAGCATAGGGACGCGGGCGATCGTTGCCCAGATACCCTACTGGCTCCAGCGTCTTACCGGCAAAACCCCCTGACTGTGGCTGTGTTGTCTCGTGTGGTTGGTCCCTGTAACTCGGTGGCCTGTATGCTGGTACTACTGCTGTGTAGAAATACTGTAGTTCAACTGCCAACCCACCTCTGATGTTCAACGCTACCACCGGCCCCTATTCCGTCTGTCGACCACGACCAATGCAGGTGCTCCACTGCAGTCAGTCGGCGGCAAGATAGACTATTCAAGTGAAGCTCCCAGTCACCTGGTGGGGGCAAAGGAGACGTGCTGCTTCTCAGCTCTGGTGTTGTTGCCCTGCGATGATGCTGGCCTCTGCTGCTGTAGACCACCGCTGGATCTATGGGGCCGAAACTCTCGCTAGAGTGGGAGCAAAGAGCCAACCCCAAGGCTAACGTGTGATGGAAGCCCCATGATCGATGGAGCTTCATGTCGGAACCTTGTGGATGGCGACCTGTTGGTTGTAGCTCCTGCGGTCTTGCTGCTTTGCGGCGGCCAACTGCGACTTGCTGCGAGGCGGTTGGGGGGTACGCGATTGGGATTATTGGCGTAAGGCCTTCGTTCATGTTATGAACTCCATTCCAGCGCGTGCCGCGCGGCCGGCGGTGCTTCCAGCAGTGCCAGACACTACATACCTCGTTCCCTCGTTCCCACTGCGCAGGGCGAGCAAGGGTGTCGTCAACGCACCACCGTGAGGCGTGGGAAGAACTTGGTAGATCATTATGTTTGTGAAAACCCATGCTGCTGCGGCAGCGAGCACAGTGATGGTGCTCATTTCCCTTGGTAGTGGGGAGGGCTTTGTCCAGCCCGCTGGTGCCAACCTCAAAACCGGCAGTGGCGGCGGCGGCGGCAGCAGCAACTGCTGTCCCAGCGCTGCTACTTCTGTCGGGAGAAAAGCTGCTGGCCATACGCCTGCGTTGCTCGCGGATCGTGGTAACACTAGGCATAGGATAGGAAACGGGAACTTGATTTTGATGTGCGAGGGCGGGGGGGGGTCGCCGGCTGCGGTAGGTGCAACGGCAGGCGCGGCAGGGAGGAAGGGGCGGAAGCCGCCGTCAGCAGCGGCGGGAGTTAGAAGAAGATCGCCTCAAAAACAGCAGCAGGGAAAGGGTTTGTCGTCGGTCGACGGTACCATTGAGAGAAAACAGCAGCTCAAGGTGGCGGAGCTGGAGAAGCAGTTGCAACGTGAGTCCACAGCAGCAGTACTGCTGTACAGACTCGGTACACGAGATAACATACCCGCAGACCGATTGTCAAAGCTCGATTGGTCGACGGTAGGAATGGTAGCGGTGCCGAAATACGGTTGCAATGGAATCGCCTCGTCGAAGGCTTTGTGAAAAAGCATTGGTCGGATTGACCATCCTCTTCGTCGTGGAGTAATCGAGCATTGGAAACGGGTACCATGGGGTGTGGTATCTTGTGTCGCCCTCAGGTGCACTTGTAAGAGGTATGTAGATGTGTGTGCTGCTGGTTATCCTGCGCGCACACGAAGGGTGTAGTAGCGTGGCAAGAACCCACAGATTTTCCCATTTCATATGCAATGGCTTGGACTCCTGCACTATCGCCACAGATATTCTCCGAAGTGAGGCTGCATTACACTAGAGTGTAAGCGAGAGCTACTGTTAGGGGTGTTAAAGCGGCGGAATTTGGGGCCAAAAAAACGTCCGGTCCATTCGGCAAAATTTGAGGGGGGCACGCGGATTTGGTTCGTTTTTTGGTTCTTGAGAATCCCGCTGTTAATACTGAATAAACTATACATCAAGTCAATTTGTTTGTACAGGCAGCTCTGCGTCCAGACAGCAGCATGGCTCTTCATGCGTTACACACACCTGGACACAGGTCCAGTAGAGGTAACTGCAAGCTCGGTTTTCTCTTCAAGTTAAACGGCGGACGAACAACACCAAAAAACATGTGTTTTTGGGCTCTTTGCTCCACGCCCAAGGCGACCGTTGCTCCTCTCGACAACGCAAGCTTACAGCCCTCTACCTTGGGTTTACAGCTATACCACACAACAAACCGCATCCGAATCGCATCAGCCAACCACGAGATCTACTTGTCTGAAAACGGCCCCTCCAGGGGGGCTGCAGTGCCCACACCAGCAGACCCTCCCAAAAAAAAAATCGAGGTCCGCGCCGTTCGGCAGCAGGAGGCGCGCTGCGCGAAAGCTGAATCAACACAAAACGAAGTTTGAAGAGAGGACGGGGCAGTGTATGGTTGCCACGTCAGCAGAAGGTAACACGCGGCGCGCTATCGAACGCGGCAGCCTCACCGTCGTAGAGAGAACGCTGGAGGAAACGAAGGAGGAGTTGGTCAAAAACAAGAAAATTGTGGAAGAGAGCCAGGCTCAACCTCGCTGCCGCCGCCGCCGCCGCCGCTGTTGCTGCTGTTTTTTTCAGCAGCAGCAGCGGCGGCGGCAGGTGTCTGCGTAGCTTCACCGCCCGGCTGCTGCTCGGGTGTGTCATGAGGCACGTGTTCTAGAGTGGGACCGCGCAATGGTGTTGTGCTGTGCCACATAGCAGGGCGCAAAGCACACAGGCGAGCCGCGCCCTCGCGCGTGTGCGTCAGAGGGTCTTTTCGGGAGGTTCCGACGGTTTCGTGCAATTTCATTGGTTGGTCGATTTTCCATTAGCAAGATCCGAGGACGCTTTTTCGAATTTTTTCCTATAGGAAATTTTCCGCTTTGACACCCCTAACTGTAGATTGCAGGACTTGTGTACTGTAAGCTTGTGACCGGGAAGGGCGTCTATCTTGCCTCTGTCGTAGCCACCACGGTATGCATAGCGTTAGCCTGAAACAGGTGTGGAAACCACCTCCCGTTGGCAACGACTTGCCACAACGCGACATGTTCACGGATCGCTGGAAACAGCAGAGTCTCCAAAGCTGCGCAAGGCAATCGGGTCATTGGATCGTAACGGGGTGGACACAACGTCAAAAACGGTACTACCTGTAGTGTCAAGCCTTCACGATTCCCCCGGCATATGATCTCAGAATGCAGCCCATCAATCTAATACAGGGTTGAGTTTGTCGACCTTAAACATTCAGTCTTGTATTATTTGTCCTATCTTCATGTCTAATCATTCTGACAGCAGTGTCCAAATAGCCCGCAAGGTCCTCCAAGGAAGCATCACCCATGACCCAAGATGCTGTCTGGGACTTTCCACACATGACATGCTCCCGCTCCCCGCCCCCCGCCCCCCCCCCTCCGCACGCCTCTCCTGAAGGTTTCGCATCGTTACGGATGTGGCGACGTGCGACTGAGGCCTTTGACAAGGCTAAGGCCGACAGGCTGCCCATCACCGCCGCAACCTACACACACGCCATCAACGTCATGAGCAAGGGCGGCAGGTACGGGAGTTTTATGTGGGTATATCATTGTAGGAGCCGGGGAAGAGATTGTTGAGGGGATTCATGGCGTAGAATGCGACAGGCTCTGCGTGCGGGATGCGAGTTATGGTGTTGCGTCAAACTGGTGATGTTGATGTTCCCACTTAAGGTGCTACGGCCTACATTGGATATATACAGCCCTATTCCCTCCCCACGGACTCCTCTCAGTGACCGCCAACATCAGCGAAAACGACATGGACCATGTAGTTGACCAGCTATATGTGTTTCGCCTTTTGCTAACAACGCTGCCCCGCCCCTGCCCCTCCCCCCCCCGAAACAACAACTTTCCCCGGAAAGATGGAAAGAAGCGATAGAACTGCTAGAAGAAATGATCGCCGCTGGCAACGACAGCAATGGCGGCCCCAAGGTCACCCCATCAGTGGTGAGCTACAACGCGGCCATCACGGCTTGCTCGAGGGCAAACAAGGTGCCTGCGGCGCTCCGCCTCCTCGACGAGATGTCCTCTAGGTCTGGCCTCTCCCCCGACATCTACAGCTACGCGGCGGTCATGTCGGGCCTGGCCAAGGCCAGGAATCCGGGGCGGGCGATCGAGCTGCTGGGGGAGATGCGCGCGGCAGGGATGGAACCGGACCTGGTGTGCCTGAAGGGGGCGATGGAGGCTTGCCGGAGCAAGGGGGCGCCGAAGGAGGCGGGCGTGGTTCTTGAGCAGGTGGGTGGCGCTGCTTGTTGTCTCGCAAGTGTGAAAGTAAAGTTGTGGTGGTGTGTGTGTAGAAGATGTGTAGACCGACGCAACAAGAAGAGGGTTGCATGAGCTTGATGAACCCAACTTAGTAGGGGGACTGAAGATGGGACGGATGGCGAGGCGCGGGGAGGGGGTGCTCGTATGGAGGAGTTGTGCTTGGCCTGCCGCCGAAAATCGGCCATATCGCGATATCCGTTGCCAGAGTTTTGTTCGTTGTATCGACTTTTTGCCCCCACTTCCCCTCCCCCCCCCCTTGTGCCACCCCGACGAAACCAGGTCCGAGAGCTAGACCCCAGACCGAGCGCAAGCACCATGGCCGACGTCCTCACCTCTGCCATCGCGGCGTGCGTGACGGAGGGCGCCTGGGAGCAAGCCACGGACTGGCTCACAGACATTCGGATGGCGAGAGGGGGAAGGCTTCCGCCACCGGAGGCCTACGCGGCGGCCGCAAACGCTTGCGCCCGGGCGGGGCAGGGCGTTCGCGCCCGCGCGCTGATCGCGGAGCTCGACAACGGCGGCAAGGACGAGGCGCAGCGGCCTACGCTGGAGTGCTACGACGCCGTGGTGCTGGGTAGCGCCTTGGCCGGCGACCCGAAGGAGGCTCTGAGAATCCTAAAGGTGGACGTGCCAAAGGCTGGGCTTCAGCCGAACACGCAGGGTTTCAACCACGTGCTGCAGGGGTTCGCGAAGGTCGGGGACTGGAAGACGGCGGTCACGGTTCTGGACGAGCAGCGATCAGGTGGGGTATTGGCGGGGGGGGGTTGAGAGCGGAGGAAATCGTTCCGTTTTGTGGTGGCGGTTCTCGTGCGTTGTTGTACGGTTTTCCGGCCTAAACCTCGACTGCGGGTCGTTCGTCTCAATCCTATAATTCGATTTTTCTTACGGAAGGGGTCAGGTGGTGAAGGTGTTGAGTTGCATCGCTGGAGGAATGGTTGTAATGGCACGTACTTGTTTTTCTGTCAACAACTTTGCCCCCGATCGCGAGGTCGACAGCCGGGGTTTTGGTGCGGTGGTTTGAAGAACAGCTAACTACTCACGCTCAATCGATTGCTGTTGAATGCTTCTCACTGGCATCACAAGGTGTTTACATCTCATCCGTTCATGAGTGCTTGCTACTTGGTTCTCACTCGCATCGCAATGTGCTGCGTCATGCAGTCATTCAAGGTTGCGTTTCTCTGGGGCAACCGTGTTGGTCCTCTACGATTTTCTTTTTTTTGAGGTTGTAAACCCGTTTTCGCTTGTTTCACAATTTTCTGTCATCATCACTACCGCCGTGTGTTCGTTTTGACCATTCATCCTTTGTGGCGGCACAACATCAACCACCAGGGGCGTTCCCGGACGCTCCCCCTGACCGATGGAGCTACAACAACGCCATCGAGGCCTGCGGCAGGGCCGGGCAGGTCGAGCCCGCCGTCGCCCTCCTCGACGCCATGCGCGCCGCCAGCCACCGCAACCGCCGCCTCAGGCCATGCCGCTACAGCTACCGTGGCGCCCTCCAGGCGTGCCGCGCGGCAGTCGATGACGCCGCCGCCCTCCGGCTGCTAGAAGGCATGAAGAAGGACGGGATTAAAGGCGACCAGCTGTGCTCGCTGGCGGCATTTTCGGCGGTGGCGGCGGTGGGGAGGGCCGACAAGGCAGCAGAAATCCTAGAGGACCTGGCGAGGGGAGGCGTTAGCACCAGCGAGGGGGCGGTGGCGTCGGCAAAGGAGGGTTTGGTAGAGGTTCTCGGCAGTGATATAGAGGGAGGGGGGAGGTTTGCTAGGGTGATGGCGGCGTTCGAGGTGCTGGAAGCCGCGCAGGCGGAGAAGGCCGCGAAAAAGGCGGAGCTCTCTGCGGCGGAGGAGGGCAGGAGCGCTTGATGTTTCTACGTTAGCCGTTTGTGGAGGGCACAGACGTCGGCGACTCGTCATGCTCAGAAACAAACGGCGGCGTGATGTAATACACAGGAGTAGGCAGGCGTAACGGTGCTCTTCGTTGCCGGCTTGTTGTGTTTCATCATGCTTTCGATCAAAGCTTGATGAGTTTTCAGGGAAGAATTGGTGGCGATACGTAATTTTCTGCGTAAAAGCTTTCTCTAGGGTGAAACCGTTGTCAGTACCCTGTTGGTGCACGCTCATTATGGAACGAGGAAAGTTTTGTGCGCGGGACTGGCGGATTGCGGAGGCGTGATCTTTTCTTTATTAGCAACGGCGAGAAGAAGGCACACGCCTTTCATATCGCACCGCGAAAAAAACGGTCAGTGCGGGAGAGAGTAGTTGCAATTTTTTTCTCCACGCTCGCGATACCCCAAGACAACTAACCTGGGTACCAGAAAGATTCTGGGTAGCGCTAGCTCCCTCGGAGTGGCATTGCTGTTGCTGTTGCTGTTGCTGTTGCTTCCTCCTTCGGAAATTAATAGCTGGAAAACCAAACCATGAGCACATGATCCCCGCGACTTTAACCAACCGCCCTCTCACGCGGGTATTTTAGGGTCAAACCGAAACACTTTTTCCCGACGGGCGCGATACCCCACGGCACCAACCAAACTTTGGGCATGAAAGTTGGAGCAGAGAGCCATTATACCTCCCGCCGAGCGGCCTTGCTATTGATGTTGCTCCCTCCTTCGGAAAAGTATCGGTGAATAACCAAACCCGTATCGGTCTAAACCACCCAACTTCAACTAGCCGCTCGGGGCCGTTGACGGTCGTGCACAGCACAAACTTTTTTTCCCCGCGCAACCGGCGCCTCACGGCCCCAAACCGTGGCATTGCCCAACAGCCCATGGCATAACCTCCTTCCAGATACCATTTATGAGGCCACTCGTTAAGTATTCGTCGAGATATCGGTGATCACAGCCTTCCCACAATCGAAGCTGCAAGGGTCTACGTGTGTGGTAGCAGCTTGACGTGGAATGGCGGAGATTGCGCTGGGCAACTTCTCTTCGACACCTTCGTCGCCAAAAAAGCTGCAGAACATGTCCTCCAGATTGCAACTTCTTCCATCCGAGAAAAAAGTTCTTAACCTTTTTGCGCAACTTTTACCTTTTACGCCGATACTTCGCGCACATAAAGAGAGATGCAAGAAAGGTTCCAAAACTTTTTTATTTTTCTTGCAAAACTTTGCAGCCAAAAAAAGCGCTTCAAGAAGGGCTTCTTCGAGCATTTTTATCCGGTGATAAGTCGACCAGTGCAAGAGCACAACGGAACGCCATCTTCGGCCAAGAAAGCGACGGCGAGCGCGTCGATGAGTCTTGCCAGCAGCCGCACTACCCAAGTCATCGATTGGTGGTCCAACGAACCAGTGTCAACTTTCGGAGGAAGCAATGAGGGCTGTCGAGGACGAAGCATGGCATAGCATAGCATAGCATACGTGTGTTGATCACAACTGCTGAGAGATGGTCAGCACTGTCACCGGTTCTCAGGCACTCTTCGCTCGACCCGCACACACTACGCGAAACAAACACCGAAAAAAGTTAAAAGGGAATACATTCATATTTCTCGCCAACCAGCACACTTGGAACTTGGGACACTCCATCAAGGGCAAACGGCACAGCAGGGTATACGCTGGTCGGAAAGCGATTCAGCTAGGTATTTTGTGTTCAACAGCGTGAAATGAACCCATATCATTGGTCAGCGCCCACTTTCACCCCGCTGCGCCACAAAAAACGCAGGGTACGCCCTGCCGTGGCTGCTCTTCTTCAAAACTGTACCCCGTTTTCGAAAATGTACCCTGACCTGGCGGGAAATGAGACCCTTCCATAAACCAGTTCCTCCACAGGAATCCTTCACAAAAATCCTTTTCCCCTCCAACCATGAGATATCAAACCGTCATAAAAAATTGGTTCACGTATGATGTACAGCCAACGTCATCGAGAGTTCAACACCGCAACACGCTTAGGCTATAATTCCACCGCGATCCTGCGTGAAAGAATCGTATGCATAGAGAAATCTGTCTCACGGTCGCTAAACACTGCTTGGTGTATCCAATGGGTCCACGGTTCTGCACCTAAGGTCGTGGGCATACCATGCCGTAGTTCCTTGCCACAGAAATGGCGTGTGGCTCGTTCCAACAGGGCCGCACACGGCGTTGACGTGCAGCTCATGCTCGCTCGGCAAACCAACCTTCTGTTATCCTGCGCACACCACTTCCACCAAAAAAAGACGAAAAGAAACAAGTGCCAAGACTACGAAAGGTAAACCAACGTTACAGTACAGCAATAAAAAATGTCATGTATTCACAGTTTGACGAACGTTGGCAAGCTTTATTGTCCCCTAACGACCAAAAGCCCTCCCAAGAGCTCGAGGGCTGAGGGAACCCCGCAAACTTAACTACTACAAAGCATGTAATTATCAATTAACTCCCGAGACTAACTTCGGCTATTCCCTCCCGACCGCAACATAGTTCGAGAAGACGGTTCCGAGGGCAACCTTGAAGTGTTCCTTTCCGTTGGTGTGTGTTGCACCTGTGAACATGAACGACGATGGCAAATATAGAAATGGTCCAGAGGGGACCAACCGCACACACTTGAGGAACACTCGCCATTGACTCGCAAATGAGAAAACCCGCAAGGTTTTGTACCGATACACGTATATTTCCGATTTTTTACGTCGTACGGCTTCGGCAAAAACTTCATCGGCCTGCTGTTCAGTACCTGCAAAGGCGGTTATCCAAAGCTACAGCGCGTCTCATCCCCAGAAAACGCCACGAACCAGCCAATCAGGTCACAGCAAGCCATCCCCCCCGACATTGCTATCGGAAGGCAGCTCGACGCCCTTTGTCCGTCTCGACACCTATATATGTCGGGTAAAAGTAGGGGCAAAGCGCAGAAAGGTCAGAGTCGTTAATTGTTGTTGCGAACTTTCAAGAGTTACGAGCAGAATGCTCAGATGGGGGGGTTATTTACAGAAACGGGCTCTCGCAGCAAGGACTTTGGTAATTTGTTGACAAACAGAGGCCCAAAATCTTAATTTTTCAAGATAAAAAATAAAATGACACAAAATCGGTGGTAGATCCTAGACCAAACTCTGTCAAATAACCTGCGCTCGGCAGTGACGATGACATCTGAAACTCAGCCTCCGCCCGATGTTGACATTTCTGATCTCCGGGACTGTTACGTACTCTGCACTGAGAACGGGCAATCTTCAATCTCCGCTTTACCCTGTAGACTCTGAAATCTGTTGCTTTGCTTCTCGAAGGTGCAACGTGAAGTCTGCTGTTCTCGCTCTTGCACTCAATTGCTCAACAATTTTTCGTCGCCGCTGAAGTCACCCCGCTGCGTGGTAAAATAATACTTCAGGCACCGACTTCTTTCTCTCGAATCCCACCATGCCTCTATATCTACTGCTCAAAGAAAGTAAAATAATCCCACACACCTCAAGGAGTTCCCACCCCCACCAGATGGACCACACCCAGCCGATAATGATGCAGGACGTGAAGAGCTGCAGCAAGCCCACTATCAGAGTCTCGCAGCTGCACGCCAGAGCTCCGACGATGATCGTCCCCACTCCTGTTGTTCCAGCAGAAGCACAAGCGTTAGAGAGGGATCCGGCTTTTGGTCGTGGTCGGGAAAGGCATCGCTGAAAAAACACTTGCGTTCGCTGCGGGCGCAAGGTGCCGGAATGTGTGGAACAAGCAGTGTACATGCACTACACAATTCGACTGTAGTGCCAGCGTACGCACGCACGCACGCACGTTCACAGGGTCCCAGATCGTGGCATTTACAGAGGCATTTTGTGTCTTCCACCGCACTGAGACTGACGTCTTCTCGTTGGTACGCCGGTCAGCGCGGTCGATACTAGCAAGAAACACACACAAGTGAGGGAGCACGATAAAGAAAGCAACCCCAAACGAACGCGCACAAAAAAAAAAAACAAGTAGCCACGGTAAATCACGTGCACTTTTCTTTTTCTGTTGTTACTACGGTATCTGTCTTCAATCCGGCGAGTAGCATAGACTCCCCCATGATGCTCCCTCACAGGGTCCCAGATCGTGGCCTTAGAAACATTTTGTGTTTTCAACCGCACTGAGACTGCTTCTATCTGTTATGGGTTGGCCGGTTGTGTAGCACGGTCGATACTGTTTAGAAGAGCACATCCTATGTGACCCCGGTTGGGTCGTCTAGCTATTAGTAGAAGTGGAGGATAGGGGCCAGAGGGGCAGACGACAGAGTCCAATGATGGGAGAAAAAAAAAATATATATATACAAAGCCAAACATGCAAAAAGCAACATCGAAGATAGCCGCCACCGAGAAAGGGGTACGTGCTGCTGCAGACCTGGGCAGAGGCGCACCATGTCATGTGCGGAAGGTGAACTACTGTGCCACATGCAGTACAGAAACACCGCGTCTGCCAGAGGGGATGCGGCGGGCGCCTCCACGGCGAAATAATGCAGAAGCTTATTTGACGACAGGTAGCTTCACAAACTTCTTCACGCCAAAGATGCATCGCGTGCATGAGTGTCTTCCTTTCGCTGTCGAGACGTGCTACTTCGGTTACGCGAATTGGTTTGATCCGGGCAAGGCCAGTGCCACGGCCTTCTCACCCACAAAATATTGGATAGCTGCGAGATATGATACATCTTTTCTTCGTGATACTTATGTGAAGGGTTCAAGTGGACCAATTGAACGGTTTGCAGCACGTGTGCTAAGGCGATGAGAGCAGCATGGTGCAACATGTGTGTCCCGTCCACTTAACTTTCTGCAGCAACATTTGTGTGTTCGACAGGGTAGGAACCACGCCTATCGTGGCACAGTCTCCCCGCGCTGCCCATGCCTTGATCTCGCCATTTCTCTTACGTTCAACGAGGTGGTAACTGTTGGCTCCGCAAAGCGTAATCGCTCCACTCTGATATCACACGGTTCTCCTCAATAGTGCCAGCTCGACAGCATTGATGGATTTTCAGACCATGAATAGTGCCAAAACTGGCACTATTCAAGAATTATTCTGAAAAGTGCCGGTGGTCGGTATAGTGCCGGTTAGAATCTTGGGAATCTTTGGACTCATACCGGCACAATAGAAGGCCAACACTGAATTGTAGAGCGGGGAAACAACACACGCCGAGTTCGGGTAAATGTGCAATGTGATAGTGGCTGCGACTAAGAGTAGTCGGGGTATGGGCCATGGCTGTTGGCGGCACACAGGCTGCAATGCTGAGGTCTACCAACTACAAACCCTCAGCACTCGCAAACTATTTACTGCGGTCAGTTGCACGCTACTTGGTCACGCACAAGATTCGTGGCACGTGATGCATGCATCCACAGCAGTTGTCGACGACACCCGAATCACATAGAAGGACAGATGGGCTAGCGTTCGCCTTACTTTGGACGACACTATATGGTCGACTAGTTGATGGGGATGCGATAAGATGGCACTCGGTGATGCACATGAACACGGGGTCATGTGCACACGCGTTGCATCGTGACAAAGCTCCAACAAGAAGGACCGACTCTCTCTCTCTCTAGCCGGCACACTTGTCAAAATTTTCGGGAGAACGATGCACAAACCGTCACTCTTTGATAGCAGCAAGCAGTGTTGGAATGTGCCCGCGAGGACAAGGCCGTTGCTAACTGCTGCTCGGAAGTCTTGTCCCAAATACGTGCGATGTCAAAAAAGCTAACGGCCGGTTGCGTGTTGGTTGCGCGCAGCGAGACAGACAGCAGTTCATACATCAAGTTTACAGTGTTGTGGAGCAAGCCTGAGGATGGATGAGGCTTGGACGGCTGGCATCGCTTGCTGATGCTTTAGCTCGTGTGTGTGCTGATACTTTGTTCTGCTCCCGTCCGTGTGGTGCACATGGTCTATCGCCCTGCCTACCTTTTTGGTGTCCTCACGTACGTACGTCACGTTGCGGCAGCGATTTCGGCGCATGTTTTTTGGGTAGTTGTTGTTGCTGGGATCATGTTTTCGACGATTCTTCTCCCAGGCACTCCCTCGTAGGTGAACCAACGTCGCATGTCTAGTGCTGCTGGTACCAACTGCCTACCTACGTAGTTCATGTGCGCTCTCTCGCCACATCTCCCTCCGCCTGTGTTTGTGTCCGTGAAGCGGTAAGGCTCTACAACCTGAATGGACTGCTGTCTCGCTGCTCACAACTGGCCGTTGGCTATTTTGACATCGGACATATTTGGGACAAGACTTCCGAGCAGCAGGTGGCAATGGCCTTGCCCTCGGGCACAGTCCAAAACTGCTTGCTGCTTATCAAAGACTCCCTACCCAGTTGATACCGCAACGCTCCAAAACACAGCCAAGTGGATGTCTGGGCGCCGCGCCCATCAGCTGCTGCCCGCTGCCTGTTGTACGTAGCACTATTCTGGCGTGGAAACCCCGGGAATGGCCGTGTTTTGTACCCGGGGTCTCGTGGTTAATACGATACCCCCGGGGAGGTAGTGTTTTGTCCCCGGTGTCATGTTTTTTGAAACGAGACTCGCGGGTCTCGTTAAACGCTTCCCGTCGCTATTCAGGCATTATTCTGAATATAGGCGGTGGTCGTCATGGTGCCGGGTAGAATCTTTGGACTCATACCGGCACAATTAAGGGCCAACACTGAATTGTAGAGCGGGGAAACAACACATGCCGAGATCAGGCAGATGTGGTATGGGATAGTGGCTGCGACTAAGAGTAGTCGAGGTATGGGCCATGGCTGTTGGCGGCACACAGGCTGCAATGCTGAGGGCTAGGCTACCATCTACCAACACTCCGCGCTCGCAAACTATTCACTGCGGTCAGTTGCACGCTGGTTGGTCACCCAAAACATTCGTGCCACGTGATGCATGCACCCGGGGCAGTTGTCGACGACACCCGAATCGGAAAGAAGGACCGACGGGTTGGCGTTCGTCTAACATTGAACAATATGTGGGGGTCGTCTAGTAGATGGGGATGCGATAAGATGGCACTCGGTGATGCACATGAACACGGGGTCATGTGCACGCGCGTTTCATCGTGACAAAGCTACTGCTGCGTGACGACCGGCACTCTCTCTCCAGCAGGCACACTTGTCAAAGATTTCCGGGGAACGATGCACACACCGCGTGCACGCATGCTGATACTTGGAGTACAAGCGGGAGCACACAAACGTAATCAACATTGTGGTAGGATCACTGAAACGCAACTGGACTGCTGTTGGCGAGTGCCGTGACGATTAGAGAGCAGTGATAGCTTGCTAAAAGAAGAGATGCGTGCCAAAGAGGCAACGGACTCAGACTTGCCTGGGAGGAAGATGTTGACGATGAAAATTGCAAGAGCCAACGGGGTTCTCAGCGTTGGGGGGTCAATAAAAGTCTGCTTCGTCCACACCATTATGGCTGCTACGGCTGGTGAGATGCGGCTGCTGGTGCGTCGTCTGGAGAAGTACTGAGAGAAAAGGCAGCAAGCGATGTGTGATGGTACTGGGCCAGTGGTCAGAGAGGGGGCACGCGAACGATATCCTAAAAGGAAGCCACGGTACAAGTAGGTACTGCTGTGTACGTTTTTTTTTTGGTCACAGCGGTGCCGTTTTACTCCAACCCGTCGTCACACAGAAGCGCCCCTCTCTACCCTCCCCTCCTGCGGTACGTTGCCTTCGATTTTTGATGCGAGAAGAGTTCACCACTCTCTTCCCTCTGTGTACACACGAACTAGCGCTATCCACTAGGCCTGGAGCGGAAGCGAGAGAAAAACTCACTTTGCTAGAAAAGCTCGCATACGCCGGGGTTCGAACCCCTGACCTGACCTCTACAAGCTGGTCCAGCCAAGAAACCAACTTGCGTTCGTCACGCCATAGCTTATCAAGGAAAAAGAATTGAGCCGCGTTCGGCACATCCCCCGAATCGCCCAACCAAGGCGGGTACGCACATGTTAGCAAACAGCTGATTGTCGACGTTCCCTCAACGCGGAAGGTATCACCCCCAATTCATAAAGGCTTTATTACCGTCGCTCAAAAAATATTGAAACGTTTTTTTTTGCGGCGGAATTAGGGATTTTTGAAAATAGAAACACAGCAGCAGCACTCATGTACCGGTCGCCCCGGTGGTCTAGTGGGTAGCCTTGCAGCCTGCCACGGGCCAGGTCATGGGTTCGAGTCCCGGCAGAGAGAGTTTTCTTCTCACTAAATAAATCCTGGTCTAGGATGAAAGCGACGCGCTACAAAGCTCGTTTGTTAGTAAACCATAATCGACTTCGTAAGTCGCGGGGGAAGGGATTGCTGTACCCTTCTCGCGATAAAAATACCTCAGACATGAACCCTCTCCGCCTCCCCCCTCCTCCCCTCCCCGGGGGAGGCCGAGGCCCGCAAGTGCAGTTAACCCTCGAAAAAACCACCCAACAACGACGGATATACGGTCCCGGATATATCCCCGATATCCCGGATATACGGTCCCTAGCACCGTGTAGGAGAGGATCCTGAGTTTGGCGGTCGGGAGTTACCGCGGTCACGAGATCGAGGTAGGTCGTGATAAGCCAACTTGGAGACAGCTGCCGATGGGTTTGAACCCAAATGCCCCGGTTTGGACACCGGGGCAAGGCAGCGGTGGAGAGCACGGAGAGGGTGGCGGGATGATCGCACACCGTGTGGGTAAGCACCCAACAGGGGGACGGAAAGGGTCCAGAGCTGGAGAGCCACGCCGCTCCGGGACAGGAAGACACCTCGCTGGGAAAGGCAAGCACCGGGTTAACTCTTACATTAACCCGAGGATCCGCAGAGCAATAAAAATAAAGAAAATAAAAAAAGGAAGGAAGAAGAGGAGGAGGGGCCGGAAG